TATGGAAGTCAGTTTGAACATTTGTTCAAACAAATTAAATACTCTAATCCTATGTGATTTGTTAAAAGAAATATAATTACCCTATATGTCTTGACTTTTGGTCCACCCTATGCGGTAAATTCTCGCTTCATTGGGTGTTCATACAACTCATTTACCCTAAAATGCAGTCTTCTCGAGAACACATTTCTCAAAATGCGGAACGCTCACCGTTATAACGCGGAAAGCTCACCGTTATAACGCGGAATGCTCACCGTTATAACGCGGAATGCTCACCGTTATAACGCGGAAAGCTCACCGTTATAACGCAGAACGCTCACCGTTATAACGCGGAACGCTCACCGTTATAACGCGGAACGCTCACCGTTATAACGCGGAAAGCTCACCGTTATAACGCGGAACGCTCACCGTTATAACGCGGAAAGCCCACCGTTATAACGCGGAACGCTCACCGTTAAAACGCGGAACGCTCACCGTTATAACGCGGAAAGCTCACCGTTATAACGCGGAAAGCTCACCGTTATAACGCGGAACGCTCACCGTTATAACGCGGAAAGCCCACCGTTATAACGCGGAACGCTCACCGTTAAAACGCGGAACGCTCACCGTTATAACGCGGAAAGCTCACCGTTATAACGCAGAAAGCTCACCGTTATAACGCAGAACGCTCACCGTTATAACGCAGAAAGCTTACCGTTATAACGCGGAACGCTCACCGTTATAACGCGGAAAGCTCACCATTATAACGCGGAAAGCTCACCGTTAAAACGCGGAAAGCTCACCGTTATAACGCGGAAAGCTCACCGTTATAACGCGGAACGCTCACCGTTATAACGCGGAAAGGTCACCGTTATAACGCGGAAAGCTCACCGTTAAAACGCGGTTTCTGAGAGGTCGATGGCGAATTGCTTTCTTGAGCTGCGTGGCTGAGCGGTACGATACAGAACGCAGAATGATACAGTAAAGGAGTGATGTATCCTCAGTTATTTGTCCCGCCATCTCGCTGTGTGTGCGTAGTACATCGTTTCACGCCAAACTTTATTCTTACATTATTTGTGGGGACATTGTTTTTGCTTAACGCGTTTTTCGTTTCGTGCCGCACTTTTCAGGAACGCGTCTAGCGCGTTAAACGAGGACTTACTGTATATCGCTGTTCTACACAAAAAACGCATCCGTGCGTTTTCAACCCTTCATTATTATTATGAAGTAACGTATTTATTTTCTGACGCATTGTTTAATATTTAGATGGGTGACCACCAGGGCTGGACTCCATGCCCGGTGGGGTTTTGTTTATTTGGTTCACCTCTGCAATCCTGACTTTAGAGTCAACAGCACCATCGACACAAAGCAGTTTCAACTTTATTTTTGAGAATCCACGAGTGGCGGGGGGAGGAGGCGGAGACATGGAAATTCAGTCTTCGCAATTGCACTTATGCCGGACCCTTAACGTTAACAAGGGGGGGGGGGGGTATATGTGAAGGTTTTGAGAACTAAAACGAAGTTGCGCTCATGTACCTTTGGCTTTGGTCCATTTATGAAGACTGACCCTTCATCGCTAACAACCTGTGCGCGCTGATGCTCGTGCCATATGAATGAGTGCAATTATTTTCCACTCCCTCGCAATGCAATGAATTTACGTGATTAAGGGCCAGGATCCTATTCAGTGACCATTCTTCTTTTGCATTGGTAACATTTAATTCATGTTGCTTATTAAGTCCCATTTATGTGGTTTTCTTCACTGGGTTATCCTGAACTTTACAGCATTTAATTCGTATCATTCGGAGAATGTTGATTTCTTGCAGAGAGAATTAAATCCATGTACTGTATTGTGATTCTTAAATGTCGATGTTAATCCATGCATCGCTGCACCCGTCGTGCTCCCAGACCACCGAACACTGCACCAACATATAAATGCACTTTGTGAACTCTATCACTGCTGGGGACTTACTTAACCGACCATAATAACTCAAGTAATCTGGAAATCTTTGTCACGAGGAAGTGTGGGGTTTGCTGCCTGCACGGACTTTAATCCGAGGCCCCAATTGACAAAAGGAACCCATGGAGCCAGAACTGAAGCCCATTGTGGGTTGTTTTTTTGGTTTCTTGGCGATTTCCCACGTAGCAGCAGCAGCAGCTCTTCTGTAAAAGTAACGGTGCAGCACGGCAGTTCATTGCTCACGGCACTGCTGGGGGAAGGGCATCCTGGAGGGAGCTCAAAAGAGCCTCTTTCCTTGGTTATTTGGTCTCTTCACTCTTCCACACTGACAGACTTATTGGAAGAGGTATGATTACCTACGCTTTGTACCATCACACGCGACCTCCCCATCAGTTAACTGGTGCACTCATTTTACACTGCTGGGTGGACAGAGGCGAGGAATTTAATAAACTTTGCCCTATTGTTGCTGCTGCACTGAAGGCGGGCGGGCGGGAGGGAATTGCTCTGAACCGGCGACCTTTGCTTCACTAAATCCAGTGTGCAATTCAATTCACCATGGCAGCATCCAGATTTGCTGGGCGAATGAAAAAACTATTCGGTCACGTAGGTTTAAAGATGTTATCACCTTTGTACTTTGTGACTGCAACAATGAAAACTCGGAATGGGCCCGATCTCGTCGGATCTCGACAGCAGAGCAGTTTTGACCCTCATTAATACTTTGCATTAGTGACCACCAGGGCTTGTCAAGGTGCCGTAGGAAATGGGGCTGCAAGGTGCCCAGCAGATGTCAGTGTTGAATGTTACTACCTCGAATCCGTGGGTTTTCTCCGTATACTCCGGATTCCCACCCACATATATAACGCTCATGCATTGAATCGACCAAACGTCCCAACGCAGGAGGCTCCTGAAAGCGGGGCTGACGACTCATTATTTCCTGGGTAAAATTATTGTTATGATGACTCGTTAGTTGTCCTGATCGTCTCCGCTTACCAATTGCCGTCGTGACTACTGCCCGCGTTCACAACCTCGGGGAAAAATGAGCGCACGCGGTGGCGTCACTGCCAATGGGATTTGCTCTCTCTGCCTTTGTTATAGGAGTGGATTATTGGGATTTAAAAAAAAGAGTAATTACGTGAAAAAGCAAGCGTGCAGAAATAAAAGGGCCAGCGGCTATGAGCCTCACACGCATTTGAGTTGTGGTGGTGAAGATGTCCCTCCGAGTGTGAAAATCACAGCGTGCGCCTCATTCATTCCATTTGGCGCCTCCTGGCAAATATTGAGAGATGAAGACCAGCGCTGCCGATTCCAGTAAATCTGTACATTTTTTACTTCAGCTCTGCGATGTTTTTAGGTTGTACCGCGTGTTGGTTGGCACGATGTCTGACACTTTGCTCTACTTGTTGGGAGCTTCTTGAGGAATTGAATTAATATTGGTTCCTGAATAAACATGGAGTGAAACGTCAGACAATGTGCACAATCCAAATGCAATTCGGAGGGCCATACAGCACAACCTTGAAAACCTGTGCAGTTGAATGTTTCTCCCTCTTGACCTCCACATATATGAGTGCATGAAATATAAACATGATGAAATATGTCAAAACAAAACTTAAGCAAAAGCTGTAATAGTTTGATACAGATATCATGACCATGTGACCGCTGCAAGCATTAACACTGCCATGCGAGAGAAAAAAACACATGTGCATCACTCTACGATTTGAGGTAAAAACGTCATGGAAGACAAAACAGAAATATTCCACCACTGAGATGGACCTTCGTCCTCATTTTGGGTTGTTTGTGTCTTAATGAGCTGCCAAATTGTTTGTCACATGGCACCTCGATTCTATGTGACCCTGGCGCTCAATACCACGTGTTTGTCGGCTTGGACGCCAGTCTAGAAGTCTCACCGTCTTCTTGGTTCTTTCGGTAAATTCACGTAGAATGAAAATAAAATGACAAAAATAAAACATAATAAAATAAAATTCTCACTACGTTTCGGCCACAACACAAGTAGCCTTCCTCAGGTGAAGAAACAGAACTGTCGGGAAGACTGTGTTTCAGTGAACACTGCCAAGCTTGGCAGCGCCTTTTAAGCTGGGTGGGAGGAAGCAGAGCGCCTTGACGAAGGATCATTAACTGGTATGTGTCTAGGTGTGACTGCAAAGTTTAGTCCTTTAGCTAAACGATTTTAATTACGACTTTGTTAACGTCTAGCTTTTCAGTGTGTGGGTCCGATTTCTTGTTGGAGAGGCGGTTGAATTTGGAAATCAAGTTGTATCCGATGTGGACATTGTTGCAATGATAAGTGTGATTTGTAGAGTGTCTTGTCTAACTGATCTTGTTCGGTGCACGTAAGTCTGATTTTTTCTGAGATTAGAGCTCAGCTAGTTCTAGATAGAATTCGTTTTGCATTAGAAGAAGTTACAGCAGCAGAGGTTAGTGTAAATTCTAATGCAAAACGAATTCTATCTAGAACTAGCTTAGCTCTTATCTCAGAAAAAATCAGACTTACGCGCACCGAACTAGATCAGTTAGACAAGACACTCTACAAATCACACTTATCATTGCAACAATGTCCACATCGGATACAACTTGATTTCCAAATTCAACATCCTCTCCAACAAGAAATCGGACCCACACACCGAAAAGCTAGACGTTAACAAAGTCGTAATTAAAACCGTTTTAGCTAAAGGACTAAACTTTGCAGTCACACCTAGACACATACCAGTTAATGATCCTTCGTCAAGGCGCTCTGCTCCTCCAACCCAGCTTAAAAGACGCTGCCAAGCTTGACAGTGTTCACTGAAGCGCTGTCTTCCCGACAATTCTGTTTCTTCACCTGAGGAAGGCTACTTGTGTTGTGGCCGAAACGTCGTGAGAATTTTATTTTATTATGTTTTATTTTGTATTATTTTATTTCCATTCTACGTCAATTTACCGAAAGAACAAAGTAGATGAATCCCTGCAGTCACGAAAGCTTTAAATCGAAATTTAAATCTCACCGTGTTCTGGTTTTCCCCTCAGTCGTATTCACAATGCTTCCCGCGTGCTCTGACACTCTTGCCTGCAGCTCAGAACGAACGAGAAAATGGACAATCAGGACTCTGTGAAGGTAGCATCAAGCACAGACCTGGACTTTCCATCCCAGATCTTGGAGTATATCGAAGGCTTCAGAAAGTCAAAGGTAAAGCATGGCAAGTCCTGTACTGACATATAAATAATAATCGATCCCACCACCTTCAACTCTTTTTTCTTAACACCTCAATGTCACTGGCTTATGTCATGTAAATCAGACAAATGCCACGCACTGGCTTCTAAAACACACGTTTTTGTTAAAAAATATATATAAAAGTTATGTTTATTCGATACAAAAAATGCTTATACGTCTCTCCAAAAGAAAAAAAAGCCTTCTACGAACAAACAGCGATGAACGCGTCTGCGTTAATCGCTGCCTGCATGACGATTGCCTAGGCAATGTTCACGGCGTGCGAGCTGGGAGTCTTCGACTTCCTGGAGAGCCCCGAGGGCCGAACGGGAGCCACGGCGGAGGCGGTGGCCGGAGCATTGGACGGGGCCGGCCCCACCAGCGTGGATGGTCTGGGCCGGCTGCTGGACGCCTGCGTCGGCATGGGGCTGTTGAACATCAGCGTCCGCGGAGACCAATGCATGTGGCGTTCCGTCGGCACACAAATAATGGATTAATCTAAACTTTGAACGTTTTTTTGCATTTACATGGTGCTTGCTTAAATGCCTCGCGGCCAACTCAAATGCGCCTTCCATCGCATTTCATCTCAGACGTGTGAGTGCCGTTGTCCCTGTGTGGCACTATATATGTATGTTGAACTTCTTTCGCACCGTACGTACCCAACCGTGCTAATCGGCACTAGGTCACTCAGCACCGGCCTGCAAGTCGGCATCAGTCTTGCCAGTGAAGGAGCGATGATATGTTTTGTGTAATCCCAATTGAGTAATTAATATCGTCCGGGTCTGTTCCACACCTGCCACATCATATTCAGTATCGTGTATCTCTCATTGATCCAGTCTACGGTACAGGTGATGTGTAAAATATTAAATGAGAAAATCAATTACTGGCCTCGCGGTATCTGTGAGTTTCCTCATTGACATCCCCATGCTGCTGCTCTTGCCACATGCGTGGTACTTGAATCACTGCCGTGGGTTCCCCAGGGTCGTCCTCTTTTTCAGTTAGCTGTCCCAGGAAATCCGTATGCCTTCCCGGCACATTAAAACATCAAAAGTCAAGGTTTTCATCAGTTACGTACGGTCCTGCCCTCTTTGGGTATTGTGAGAAATTCTTCTTCACATGAGATGTCCCAGTAAACTCGTACCTCGGAGGTGTCAACCGTAACCCATGTGCGCACGTGTGTGCGTGCGTGTGTATCCGTTGCAGTCGTGTACAGCAACACGGAGCAGGCGAGTGCCTTCCTGTGTCGTCACAGTCCCAAGTCGATGCACGACATCATCATCTACAACTCGGCCACCATCTACCCGCTGTGGCAGCACCTCCCCGCTGCAGTCTTGTGAGCTCCGTTATGGGCACGAGCGCACAGAGTCATGCAGAGTGTGCAAACGCGGCGATACTGGACTTGTGCTTGTGCACCACTGCTAATGCAGTGTCAGCGAATAGTTTTATTACAATAATGTTTCTGCCATTGAATAAAAACCCTTTGACTTTAGCAATGAGTTGGGAGACATATCTGCGTGATAAAGTCTTTACACGCAATGCGAAACATTTGGATGATGATAATAATTATGGTGATTAGACTTGTGATGAATCACCAATTACAGTCGATGTGTACGGTCATGATATGAGTATCGAATCGTGAACTTTAAATTCAATCATTTATCAAGAATATTAATGATACGCAAATGTTATATTCAGTAAAATGCAGCTTAAACGAGGGCAAATAAAACAAGTAATGAAAATACATTACAAATAATATTTTTTTAAACCTAATTTTTCAATGAAATTATGACCCTGAATCATGAAATGTATTAAATGCTTGGGAGACTAATAATTACATGCCTAAGATGATGCTAATTAATTATGCCATTGATTGCGAATGAATTTCAGAGAGGGACAAAATCAGTATGAGAAAACCTTTGGAGTCTCTAACGCTGACCTCTTTGGGGCAATGTACAGGTGAGCACATTAACGGCACACGGCAGAGTTTCCCAACATCCATTTGGCAGCGCAGCCTTGCGACCTTTAATATCAAGCCAGCATCACAAGAAACGTTTAACTCTTCCTCTACCACGCAGGTCGGACGATGAGATGATGAAGTTCATGAAGCTAATGAACGGCATCTGGGCCGTTAACGGCCATGCGGTCCTCACTGCTTTTGACCTCTCACCCTTCAAGGATGTGTACGACCTAGGAGGTGACTCGGGGCCGCACTGCAATCTCACCTCTTGCATTATTAGTAAACCATTAGCCTTCCGCTGGGCATTACCAAACAGTCTTGTAAGTTAGTTGATCATTTGGAGACAGGGTTGTTGGATTGTGCAATGGTGGGGTCAATTATGGGGCCATTGCATGTAAAATCTGCACCTACTCCTGGGTTTTGCTCACCTGCTGGGCATCCATAATGAGTTTGAGTTCCCCTTGTAAGTGCATGCATATGCCACCTGGAACATTGCCTTGTAGCAACTTGGAGGCTGGGAATGGAGTGTGGCAGGAAAGTGATGGCAGATGTGATCAGAAAGAGGAGGCTGCAATGAGTGGGTGCAGGATGGAGACGGATGAGGCAAGTGATGAGTCCTGCTCAAGTACACTTTACTTTTATTAAGCAGTCAATACGATGCCTCTAACTTGAATATGATATCTAATCCACGTGTTTATCTTTCTCTAAACCGAAATTAAGAGTGACAAGCGACATACAAATGTTTTATTTTAAAAAGTTTTCCATCGGTGTATATTACCTGCTATGGCATATGAATCAGAAACACGGACACTGACATGGACATTTAAACACAAGCTGAAGAGTGAACAAAGAAGCATGGAGAGGTGCATGCTTTGAATGATACTGATGGAGTGATGAGACCAGCTCATGTGCAGGTGCTATAGTGATTTATGCGTGGAATGGTGATGGCATGGGGTCACATCAGCAACAGGGGAAAAGCAAAAAAATACTGAATCTAGGTAATATATCCGAATATTTTATCACAATCTTTATTTAGACTGGAGGAATCCCATGAGCTATGAAGCTCTTTTTTCAAAGATATCCAGTAGGTATATATTGGAGGGGATAATGGAAAAAAAATATATTGTGGTTTAGCAGCAGTCTTACTCAGTACTCTACTGCCGCACCCAGGGGGGAGAAAGGTGAGGGTGGAATGGGAAGCGGGTACGACCAAACAGTGGCCTTCATTACAACGAATATCAATGGACTCTCAGCTAGTTAAAGGACATGATGAAAGCGAGCCCGCGTGTCCTTTACCCTCTAACGGCGCTGGGCCGTGCTATCACGGACCAGGGTGCACGGGGGCCCTGGCGCTGCAGCTCGCCGAGATTCACCCCGACTCACGGGTCACCGTCTTCGACCTCCCGCCCGTCGTGGAGGTGGCGCGGAAGCACTTCCTCGCCTCCGGCACCGTGCAGCTGCAAGGAGGTGGGTCCTCGTGAGCCGTCGTGGAAACCCAAACTGCCTGGAAGATTGCAGTCACTTGTGCCACTTGGTTGCACGTACTGCACTTATCAATTGTTCACAATTATCATTGGAAACAGAATAAACTAACTGCGTGAGCAAGCTTGGTTTAGGAAATGTTTCTCTACCATCAACCACGCGATCGATCAGATTATTGAAAACCGTTGCCTCCGCGTTTTAGACTCTGTGAAGGTATTTGACTCAGGAGAAACTACCACACTAACGTCATTCAAGCTTTCACAAACCAAGGTACAAAGTAAAACAATTTTATAAACAACCGTACGCAAATATCTAACAGCAAAACCAAGAGTACGTGAAGTAACAATGCACTTATTAGAAGGGGAGTTAGACGAAATTATATACAGCGACATAAGAAGATGTATTCCAAAAACTGGATTGCAGAAACTAAGCCATAATGTACATGGAGAAAATATTAACTATCTCAGAATTGATGATGAAATAGTCATTATAACAACCACTGGGATAACAGTCGATAATATAACTTGACAACAATGTAAGCATTTCCTCTGGATAATTACTCATAACCACTGACAATGAATATAGGTTCAAAATAAATAGCAGCAAAAATAGAAGTCACGTGTAACAATTGGGATAGTGAGTGAAGGTGGACGGGGGACAAAATGATGGATTAAAGAGGGGGACGAGAGGAGATTGGATTGCATTTGATGACTAGCGATACACCAATCTGCCTCAAGAAGAACGTTTTTAATCAGTGAATATGGGTGGCAACGAGAACAAATAGTCGCTTAGGATAAGTGATAAGACTGGCAGCTGTCTTGTGTCACCCTGCAAACATCGCTACACGATGACCAGGTTTCGGGATGTGCCTGTCGTGTGAGAACATTGGGTAATTTTCTTTTTTTTTTGTCTCCAGGCGATTTTTTCAAAGATGAGATCCCGCAGGGCGACCTGTACATCCTGGCACGGATCCTACACGACTGGTCCAAGGAGCAGTGCATGCAGCTGCTGGGCAGCATCTACTCCAGCTGCCGGCCGGGTAATAACTCCAGTCCGTGTTTCCAGGGCAGTACGATCGCATTTTATCCTGTTGAGTTCACGTTCTCATTTTCACCCAGCATTCATGTCAGTGGTTGTGAGTAACTCTCCAGATGAATAGTTCTCAATGGTTTAGTGATATTCATATACTGTATATACTGACCTGTTAACTTTTATATTGCTTGGAAGATCACAACGAATCTGGGAACATCGCGTTTTTAGAATCACCACAAGCCATGCCTCATACTGAAATAAGGTATTGTCCTAAAACAGGTGTGCTCATCGCTGTGAGTCTCAAATTAATAATCCATATTCTTAGCTCTTTCAGTAAAGTCAACGTGACTTTACCGAAAGAGCTAAGAATATCAATTACTGCAGTCACGAAAGCTTTAAATCAAAATTAAAAATCACCAAATGTCTACTGTACTTGACATTTTCTCGAAGAATGTCTTCTCATGCTCATCGAAGAAAGCATACAGAGGCTTTGACCTTTTCTGTTTCAAATATCAGAGCCACCAACTTGTTTTTGGAAGCCTCGGGGGAAATGCCAGATGAGGCCCCCTATGAGATCGCCTCGACCTTTTCCGAGGGCCTAAACTGTTTCTATCTCATTTTTCCACCACGCCTGCCCCCTCTTAAGGCCCTTTCAATGACATCCCAGGTTGAGAGAAGGTAGTGATCTCATTGCCCACCTGTTACACGTGTTTTCGTGTTACCTTAAACACAACTTATACCATTATCTAGGTGAATTGAACGCCGTTAAATCGAATCCAGATATGCTCAGTAGATGCCACTTCGTCAAGGTTCCTGCCATACGCAAGAACAGAACATCTCAATTGCGCTACTGAAGCCAGGTCACGTGAAAATGGCATCCAGACTCTCGACTCGTGGACAACAGGGTTGGTATCTTTCGTAGGGAACAATCCCAGAGGTTAATGATGATCGGTGTCGTTCCTTATCTTTCTCCTACATTAACATTACCTGCCCCGCCCATGCTGCTGACACACTTAGTAACCATTGCTACAGTCTACAACTCTACATTATAGACTACCAGTACACTCACCAAACTTAATAACCAGGCTACAGTCTAGATTGTAGATTGCCAGTACACTCATCTCCGATTAAGAACCAGGCTACAGTCTGTTTTTTTTGTTTTGTATTATTTTATTGTTTATTATTTTTATTCACTTTCTTTTCATGTTTCTATCTACGTGACTTTACCGAAAGAACCAAAGAAAATGTTGATGATGATGTTGATTTACATTAGCGGTCTCCCCAATGGAGCTGTCTTCCCAAGACACGAGAGGGCGCTACACTTCATCTTGTCATGGGAGATGAACTTTAGCAACCACCCCGCGCCCACTTAGGGCCCCTACTGAGCTGGGGCAATTAAGTCAAGAGAAAATCATTAATGGGGGGTTGTTGTACAGAGATTAATGACTGGTCTGAGACCACCAACTGACTCCACTTAGCAGCCTATACCTCGGCAAACCTTTGCGGCTAACTTGTCCTGTGTTGGGGGCAGAACGGCGAGGAGCCAGGGGCCAGGTGGTAGTGGGCCTGAGGCAGTGTCACGTATGTTAAGTGGGAAAACAATTTGAACAATGTGCATGACGTTTGTAGTATTATGTTGAGTTTATTTCGCACGGTGCGTAACCAGCCGTACTAATCGGAGGTAGTCTACATACGGTTTACCCCGTATTCTTGTACAGGGAAATTGAGTTTTCAGGTCCATACGGGGTACAGCCGTTTCAATATGGGCAAAACAATTATTTTGTCTATGTATTTGTTTGTCCCTTGTGATGGGACTTTGTAGGATGAACGTTGAGATTTATAAGGGTACGGGTGACCAATAAGGTCTGAATTGGTCTGTAATAAGGTAGGCACTGATAAAGGGTTGACAGGTATGAGTCTAGGGGGTTGAACATGAGGCCCCTATACTCAGACGTGAAGGATACGAGTTCGAATTCCTGGCTCAAATTACAATGTGCACTTATTTACCCATCAGATAACTTCAACTATGGTAGGTGGCATTGTCAGTTGCACACAAGATCTAATCTTAAAAGTACCCATAATGCGTTAGTAAAATACACACAATTTTACCGTTAAAACTAGCCACATGCGCAGCAACTTTGAGTGGATTTTAAATTATATTGCTTCATTCCTCACCCTGGCAAGTTTGTGGCAAAAGCTGCCACCCCCTACACACCCTGCGGGCTCAACACTCCTACAAGATTGTCATCCCACTGATGACGACTAGGATGATTGGCTATGTACGGTGTAACAGAAGCTCAACATACATACATGAACACATTTTAATACCATCATCGAGCTGCCTGAGAAAGGAGTGCATGGTAGTTTGTAATTGCTCGCGCCGGGGTCAGAGAATACATGTTTCTCCCAAATATTCGTTTCTTGTCAACAACAATATTTTCAGGATATTGGCTCTCCTTTCATTTATTTACACCCCCCCCCACCTATGTTTTTGTAACGAAAGTGTTTGTTACGTGCAAGTACCATGTCTTCATTGCATACAAGTCTATATCAATTAATTTTCAAAGAAAACCTTAATTTTAAAACCACTTTCCAAAGTAATTTCATTTATTTTACCGAAACTTGGTCCTAACTAATCTTTAACCCCTGAGTCTAATCCAATTGTACAGATAAGTAGGTGCCGAACAAATCTTCAGGGAAATAAATGTTTTTGCAGGCTCAATGCTCCCACACAACTTTCAGTCCTTTACACATATGAACACCAATGTCATGAGGGGTGATGGCCTAGGAGTGGTGCATGTTGCCATTTGTTGCAGAGGTGCATGGTTCGAATCTATCGGCCGCCCTGATTATTACTGTAAGTGTAATGACCATGATAATATATTATGTTGAACTTCTTTCGCACCGTACGCAGCCATCCATGCTAATCGGAGGTGTTTGCTTCACAATCGCCACTACAGATCCCCTGACGTCATTCACGAGAGTAGGCCAACGTGCGGCCTAAATTTGCCAAATTCGAAAATTATCTGCAAATAAATTGGTAATATACAAAACAATCCATCATCCTCTACTTACAGAACAATACCCCACATCTCTTGAAAATGAGACTATCCTGGCCTGTTGAGTTCTCACATTGCTAAACACATCGCACTTGACGGAACTGCATCTGAAACGAACAAACACTGCATCTGAAACACAAACGCGCGGTGGTGGTGTGGCACCACGTGTTACCTGCAGGAGGTGGTTTGCTCGTGGTGGAGTGCCTGCTGGCGGAGGACCGGCGGGGCCCCATCTCGGTGCAACTCTACTCGCTCAACATGCTGGTGCAGACCGAGGGCCGCGAGCGCTTCGCCTCCGAGTATACGGCCATGCTCACCGAAGTTGGCTTCCGCGATATCCGTGTGGCCAACACAGGCAAGCTCTACAATGCCATCCTAGGGCGCAAGTGAAGAGCTCCACAACGCCATCCTAGCCCGCAAATGAGGAGCTCTACAATGCCATCTTAGCACGCAAGTGAAGAGCTGTACAGTGCCATCCTAGCTCGTAAGTGAGGAGCTGTACAACGCCATCCTCGCCCGCAAGTGAGCGGCCCTCCAAAGCCATCCTGTTGGATTGGAATTAGTGAAGATTGCCAATGGTGAGTGCCGGCGGGTGGCTTCATGCATTCACTCGTGCGAACGTAGGTCTCTAAAAGGACTCGGCATTCATGAAGACTGTGGAGGCATCCTGATATTCTGAAAGTGGCTGTCAAGGGAATGTTTGAAATCTAGATGTTTAAAGCAAGGTGCAAAAGAGCTGTATGTTATAGGTATTTGGGGTGTGCCAATGGACTAATACAATTATTACTATTGATTCTTTGGCAGAATTCTGTAAAAAGTCAAATAAATGTGCAACCAAATCAATAGGTAAACTTGACAAAAAGACAGCACAATTCCTCACAATGTTCTCCCCCTAATTCCCAACAACGATCCTGTAACTCGCACCCATTGTTCCCACACCACAGCAAATGTACCCAGTCGTGAAAGGCGACCCATTAGTTTGGGGAAAATTTTGGCCGTTGCACATTGAGGCTGCTCATAAAACCAGTGTGTTGTGCTGTAATGTAAACCGATTGCTTCACATACAGATACCGTTACAGAGGAGCAGGGATGATATAGTTTCCTCAACACGAGCTGTAGCAGGGGGGTGTCGTTCGACATCAGCCTACGCCGACTCTAAACTAAGCTATACACTATTTTTGTATTTGACCAGGTAAGGCTCTTCTTTAGAAGTGGCTTGTCATGTGGACATTTTTAACAGCCACATACTCGCAACCTCAACGTATGTTTATAAATGTGGAGGGAAAACCAGGAGGACCCGGAGGAATATACAGACGTCAGGGTCGCAATTGTTAGCCACAACCTCCTGCATATCAGGCGAGGGAATTAACACCACTATAGAGGTACAAGTAATGAGATAGTTTCCTAAAAGCTAGATGTAGCCCGGGGGATTTCCAATGATGCCAGAGGAATCTCTCCGACTCCCTTTCGACATCAGCCGTGCGCCGACTCAAAACCCCAAGGATGGAACCCAGAATAATTTTCCCTCTGCTCTGTGTGGCTTCGGATTTCCTCACGATTCTTTTTTGCATGAGAAGGAATAAGATCACGTATGTTAGAATCGATGTTTAAAAATAAAATAAACTGTATATGGTGTCAATGGGTTCACATTGCCCCTGCATACACTGTGGCCATTTACATTCACCACAATGTAATCGGATACATTTCCTGATCGTGTCAAATAATTGCAGTGCCAGCGAGGGGGGTGATGAATCATTGCAGATTTATAGCATAGGTTGCAGAATCATTGCAAGTCTCTTTACTTATTAAAATGCCTTTGTATGAGAGCGGGATGTTTATTTGCCCTAAGGCACCCAGTGCTGGTGCTGCTCGTAGGAATATACTAACAATATATAACCCTTGACTGTAACCTTCTATCATTTATGAAAATAATGATTTAAAATTACGCACGTATATCGTGTCGTATACAGTAAGCAAATATATATTTTTATATATCTGGCGGTTTGTGGGGTATACGCAAGGCAAAATGTTGAGCGTGTCGTTTCATCTCAGCATGAACTCCTGTGTTTTATTATGTTATACAATCAATGTTCTCCTCAAGGAGCATGAACCATCACGTCAACTCCGCTCATCATCGCAGTGGCTTTTGACGGTCACTGCATCGCGCACTTTCAGATGTCCTTCTGCGGCCGTCTGGAACGCTCTGCCGATATTAGGAAGCTACTGGAGCTTCGCACTTTTAAATCGTCTACATTGAAAACTAGTTTTTTTTTTAATATAACTGCTTTTTGTGTTTCATTTTGTTGTTCTTCCCCCGCACCTCCCATTATCACGGTTGGCTATGTACGGTGTGAAAGAAGTTCAACATATTCATCTTCTTTGGTTCTTTCGGTAAAGTCACGTAGAATGAGAATAAAATAATAAAATAATGAAATAAAATAACACAATAAAATTCTCACGACGTTTCGGCCACAACACAAGTGGCCGCGAAACGTCGTGAGAATTTTATTGTGCTATTTTATTTTATTATTTTATTCTCATTCTACGTGACTTTACCGAAAGAACCAAAGAAGATTAATCATTGCAGTCACGAAAGCTTTAAATCGAAGTTCAACATACATGCGTACGCACAATGTGTGTGTGTGGGGCATGATCACTGAAGCAGGAAAATGTATTTCCCTCCACCCACCAACTTCATGATGCACTGGACAGTCGTGGTTTATAATGCTCAAATTATATCTGGTGATACCGCTGCGTTGCCAGCGGTGCACAGGCACAATAATCAAAAACGTCAACACATTCGTCAATAACACTGTGACTTTAACAGAAAATGTATGCAATCGGCGACAATCCAGGCAATGGGGCTTCATATTACTGTACATAAATTGAATAGAATAGATCTCCAGGATTGTTGTATGGAAATAGGAGTGGAGATGAGAGAGAGCCCTCTTTATAAATTGTATGCACATAAAATGCACAATGCAAACAGAGGGGTCATTGCCCAAAACGTCGCCTGTTATTTATATTTCCTTTGAGGCAGTGTGATTGACGAATGTGTTGAGTTTTATGGTTGATTACTGCATTCTTCTATTTGTGCTGAATTTAATTGTGAAGTGTAATTATTTCGCGAGTAAAAAAAACAGAAGCATCCAATCTGTTCGCATTCACACTGTGAAGGGTTTTTTTCATACATGAGCATCTCGGAAATGCAATATTGCCATTCAAGTCACTCATAAGCATCGCAAGAAAATAAGAACCTACGCAGAGCTGAGGGGAATTGATCCTGGTTGCCACCCTATTGGTTTTGAGTTGCGGTGGCGAGATGTGAATTCCCTCGCCTGGTATGCAGGCGATTGTGGGTTCGATTACGATCCTGACATCTGTATATTCCTCCGGGTCCTCCTGGTTTCCCTCTACATTTAGAAGCACACGTTGAGAGTATCTGGCTGCTATAGATTTCCACATGATAAGCCACTTCGTTGAGCTATCATTTGTGGGCCAGGTCGTTCTGAAGGAGAGCCGTACCTGGTAAAAGAAAAACAATAATGTATAGCTTACTTTAGAGTCGGCATAGGCTGATTTCGAACGACATGTGTTGAGGAAACTATATCATCCCTGCTCCTCTGTAATGGTATCTATATGTGAAGCAATCGGTTTACATTACAGCACAACACACTGGTTTGTGAGCAGCCTCAATTTCCCACGGCTGAAATTGTACCCTAAATGAAGGGTCGCCTTTCATGACTGGGGTCATTTGCTGCGGTGTGGGAACAATGAGTGCGAGTTATAGGATCGTTGTTGGGAATTAGGAGTGAGGATCAGAGGGAGAGCCCTCTTGAGAAATTGTGCTGTCTCTTTGTGATGTTTACCTATCGATTTGGTTACACATTTATTGATTTTAGTTTTTACAGAATTCCGTGGAAATTTTTTCCTGTGAGCACCCCATAACGTTGTAGCACCTCGTGTGTGACCAACTAGCGCTATCTTTTTTTTTAATTAATCCCTTGCCTATTATAGAACGCAACCTCCTTAATTAAGACCCAACCCTCTATTCTGTGGAGAGATAATTTCCTCCCTAAAAAAAATGTACAATTACCGCACTGCTAATGAGAATAGCTCAATTACAAGAGAACGAGAGTGATTTGCTACAAATTTCCCACTGCTTTGCAGTTTATTCTCCGTGGATGTCTTCGTATTAAGTTTCCATTTCCATTCCCCATAATTGCTGTGTTGTGGGGCTGAGAGTGTACATCAAAATAAAATGATGATGGCTTCACTGTTTTCCCAGCCCTTTACGGCTTCTATTCAGGGAGTTTCAGTTGCATTGTAAGCTGCATGGATTCGTTGTCATTATTGCACAACCATTGGATCTCAGTGCTTTTCTTGAATGTGAGTAGCCATGCAGAAAATTCCGTTTATTTTTTTGTTATTCATGAAGTATTGGGAATTTAAGCACGGGTACCAACGTTTACTGGTATGTGTGATTGATTTTTTTTAAGTTGTAATGTCTATAAATTCAAGTATTCGATCATCGTTTGCTGCGACCTCTCTATTAAACACCTCGTAATAAATCCCGTTGTAACATTTGATATTCTTTTATTTTAATGAATTAGAATAGACTGTTGTCTAAGGGGTGGGGAGGCCCTCATCCAGCAGTGGATTGACAAAGGGCTGTACGTATATACAAACTGTCTGAGCACCTGCCGTGTTTTTCTGTAGAGTCAGGAAAATCCAAGCGGGAATTGGGTGCAGAACGCTTGTTTGCTGTGCCACTGCGTGTAATCTTCAGAAATTGTGTGTGTGTGCATCCTTCCCTGCCTCACTTACAAAGATCCCCTTCCGTAGCTCTTCTCACAGTGTCTGGATGTGAGCAGCGCGCCACTGCGAAATTTGTAAAGCATCGGCGGGATGCGGTGTGACATCGCGGTTCATGAATACTGCATTTGCAATGCTGTTGAATTTATACTGATTGCTTCCAGTACACCATGGTGGCACGGCGCAGTGGCAAACGTGGACACGCAATTAATTTAATACCACGGTAGAGGCGGGCAGCCCTTTGCCGGGTTACGTTGAAGGTGCGCTGAATCATGGTGCTGGGCTTGGTGGCCAGTCATCACCTCCACCCTAAGGATCATAGAGTTAGTCCAGCGCAGATTCGGTGAGGTGTGGAGAAAAAGAAAGAAAAAAAAAACACCTCCATAATTAATCTTTGGTTCTTTCGGTGAAGTCACTTAGAAAGAAAGTAAATTAAATAATAGTATAACGACGTTTCGATTGCAACACGAGCAACCGTCATCAGGTTTGAACTAAATTTGAGAGAAGAGAGACAAAACACAGACACGGAGACACACAGGCAGACACACAAGGAGAGAGACACACAACATAGACACACAGAGAGAGACACACAACATAGACACACACAGAGAGAGACACAACATAGATACACAGAGAGAGACACAACACAGACACACAAGCAGAGAGAGACAACACAGAGACACACAGAGAGACACAACACAGACACACAGAGAGAGACACAACACAGACACACAGAGAGAGACACAACATAGACACACAGAGAGAGACACACAACACAGACACACAGAGAGAGACACACAACATAGACACAAATTTAGTTCTACCTGATGACGGTTGCTTGTGTTGCAACCAAAACGTAGTATTCTAGTATTATTTAATTTATTTTCTTTCTACGTGACTTTACCGAAAGAACCAAAGAGTAATTCCTGCAGTCACGAAAGCTTCAAATCAACCTCGATAACTGTTGGGAGATTTTATAATTCCATCCTGGCTATATTTGTCGTAATTTTAAGTGAAATATTCGGGCTGCGTATGGTTTCATTGTTTTGTTGTCTTTTCAAGTTAAGTCTTTGGGTTGTGTAGTAATTTTCATCATTCACAAATCTTAATTAGACATGGGAAATGCACGCTGTTTTGTTAATGCTTGTGTTTTGTATCTTGTAATCTACCTTTTTTAATGTATTTATTGTTTTAAAGTGACATTTTAGTTGCGTATGGTTTGTCCTTGAATGAAGGTTACTTTAAAAACATTTCTGAGGGTCCATTAAATGGAGTGATCTACAGAGGTGTCTCATCATCAACACCTCACTGGTTGTCTCTAGGACACCAGCTAACACCAGGTTGACATCCGGTTCCACGAAGCGTCTTTGCCTGGAGATTATCTTTCAAGGTCACTCGCCACTGAAGGCAGAAGTTCATGCTGTAGCGTTTAAAAGGAAATGGTAAAACTTAACCAGCCATGTTGGACACCTAATTGGCCATTGCAGAAATGCACACATACGAACGATCTGCTTCAGTGGCGCTTGAAATTTTTATAATTGCAGCCCAACAATATCAGCCTACAGTTGTGGGCCATTTGTTATTACGACTAAACAATGCATCCACACAACACAAAGGCTCCATCCACATTGCCTAGTCAATCCATCTTGAGCTATTTCCACACCAATGGGTGCCCAATTTACACACTGGGGTGTTGTGCATGGTCCATTTGCTTGTGTAGTAGAAATGACAACCATCACAACTGCCAGGCGTTGGATAGGTGCCCATGAATTAAGCCTCGTTCACTCTCCGCATGGGTCTACAAATGGTAATGCAGGCACAGTAAGTAAACCTTATTCGTTGCCGCCTTTCAGACATGGGCTTGCACCGGGTGAGAGTCTTCTCAGACCAAGGTGACTGTGTTTATTTTTTCTACTTTAATTAATTCGGCAACAGAAACCTAAGGTCTCTGCGGTGCTGGCTTTTTGCTTTGCATTTTAATTTGAAGTTGGCAGAGCTAATATAATTGCTGTACCTGGAGCTGGCTTTTACCTAAACAGCCATGCAAGCACAGTTATGCTGTTATGCAGTCCAATGTATAATTTTATGCATTTTTTTACCGTCCAAAAATCTATCTATCGACGATTTGAGTAAAGGCATGATTCTCATTTGCCCCACTTTCTTGTATGCTTCTGCTTTCATGAGAAATGTGATGGAATGTGGAGGATGAATGATAATCTGGTTAAAAAAGACTATCCTAATCTGAAATGACTTTACCCTTTCTGAATCATGACACCATATCACAGTTTGTGATGATATAGTACAGGGCTTATCGTTTGATACGTGTGCTACAGATCACCTGAGAAATCTTTCAAACGGCCTGAATAATTTAAAAAAAACAGATAATGGATCGCTCCATCGGTGATAACAAAGGTGGTGCAGTGCTAAGTACGGTGCGAAAGAAGTTCAACAAATATACTGTGATGCCATAATTCCATAAATAAATGGGTTTAAAACAAGGGCATTGCCATTTGGGTGTACAGCACTGTTACTATGCTCCAATGTTTTTGCTCCCCGCTTTTGCTAATCCGCATGGTGAAATATGGGCAAATAACCCCCACGACCCGCACGATGTGGAGTGTGGAGTGACCCTCATCCAGCAGTGGATTGACATAATGTACTTTAGGGTGGACACAGCATGGAAAACGTCAAGGATTTCAGTTGTGGTATTTGTTTGGGGTGTTCTGGCGGATCGATCAATCAATTTTAAGCTCACGGTACACGCATTGAATTGCGTGTTTAAAAATCAATGTGTTTTTTTTGTTTCGTGTTCATTGTATGTAAATCAATACAATGTATAGGAATCATGACCCCTATAGTGGTCACTTACATATACCCCATCGTTACAAATAATAGATTTTGTTGTCTTCCTCAACATTTTGTTTTTATTATCCTAGTTTGTGCAGTCACCAAATAATCCATTCAGAAGTCGTCTAGAGCACTGCATCAACACCGGAGACTTTGTCACAGAACCGTTCCTGAATTCATCTTCTGGGTTCTTTAGGTAAAGTCACGTAGAATGGAGATAAAATAATAAAAATAATAACAGAATACAATTTTCTCAAGACGTTTCGGCCACAACACAAGTAGGCTACTTGTGTTGTGGCCGAAACGTCGTGAGAATTTTATTGTTATTATTTTTATTAATTTATCTCCATTCTACGTGACTTTACCGAAAGAACCCAGAAGATGAATCCCTGCAGTCACGAAAGCTTTAAATCGAAATTTCCTTCCTAGAATTGTCAAGCGACGACTATTCCAAAACACTCCCCCACCCGCCTTGCTGCGCGGAGCAATGTTAATCCCATGGCAGCGACATAGTAAATGTTATCATTGTGTTATCAATGTGTTATCAATGTTATTATTCTCAGAGCTGGAATTCATTGAGCGCAACACCAAATTTGTTAGCCACGTTCTCGAACATTTGACAACTCGGTTTAAATCACGGATGATTGCAGCGGTACGAAGCTCAAGGCTACCGGTCTTGGAGCCACCTCGCTTTCCTCATAAAATAATTAATTCTTGAATCGGTGGTGGTGGTTGGTGGAGGGGGGGAGGAAGGAGCTGAATCTTTACACCACAGTACCGTTTACCACCTCGAGTTACTAGGATGACACAGAGAGATTTAGTTATAAACCTTAAGAAATCTTTCGCGTTTTCGTTCTCAGCATTTGCATTCGGGGACCCGTACACAGTGGGGGCGGTGTAGTCAGGGCGGGGCTAGGTGTGGGTGGAGGGGCGGGGGCTAGTGGGGATTGGGCGGGGCTAGCAGGGGTGGGGCTAGTGGGGGCGGGGCGAGTGTGGAGATTGAGGGCGGGGCTAGTGGGGGTGGGGCCGCCCACTATTTGCCCTCAGGTCCCCGGCCCCGCCTTCCACCCCCACAGCCAGGAGACGACAGCGGCGACGGTGGCGCGAGACGGCGGTGGCGGCGGCGGCTACGCGGATCCCGCGCTTTTGTTGTTGTCGTTGTCGTCTCTTGATGTCTCCCTGTTGGAGATAGCCGTAAAAAAACAACAACCAACCGTGAGCCGCGTCTCGCGACCCATACCTAGAGCTGCGCGACCTCCCACCTACACCCCCTCCCGTTCCACACAAGCACAACGTTGAAGCGGCCAGGGCGACATTCGGCGTGCAATAGTGGCGCACGATAATAAATAATTAACACGCAACTTGAATCGCTGGAAGAAGAAGAAGAAAAAAACATCAACATCGGCGCAAAAATGTCACCGCGTTTACTTCAGCTTTTGTGATCAATCGGCGTAACAACAAAAAAAGGGCAGTGTACCCACCCCTCTGCTGGGATCTCGTGTCGTGTAGGAAGTGTCATTTATTTTTTTTGTTATATTTTAACATCGTGAAAAAAATATATATACACATAAGTCCTCGACGCGAATGGCGTACGTGCTGGTGGCCGACGCGGGGCCGCTTGCCTCGCCGCTGCTGCGGGCGTGCGCGCAGGGCGACGCGGCGGCCGCTCGCCGTATGCTCGAGAGCGGCTCGGACCCGTGCGCCCCCGACGCCCGGGGCCGCACGCCGCTGCACCTGGCGGCGGCCCGGGGCCACCTGCCCGTGTGCCGCCTTCTGCTGCGGCACGGGGTCGACCTGGCGGCCACCGACGCGCAGGGCAACACGGCGCTGCACCTGTGCGGACACGCGGACACCGTTCGCTTCCTCGTGGCCAGCGGGCTCAGGCCAGACCTCGGGTACAGGGGCGGGCGGGGAAGGGAAAGGAGGTTGATGGAGGAGCGGGGGGGTGGGTGGCAAGTGTCGTGGTGGTGGCGTTGAAGGGTGCTGGTGAGGTTGAGTTGTATAGCGAGTGTCGCGATGGTTGAGTGTGAGGTGGGCGGATGTGAGAAGTGCCCGGTGCGGTGTGTTAACATCGCCACTGGGGGAGACAAAGGCGGCCGGGTCGTGGTGTTGGGCCACCCACCCCCTAGTGTGCCGTACCGGCGTTCATAGTGCATAGGTGCCACTCGCTAACAGCACTTGCTCCAACAGTCTATTGAGGCGAAACGGCGAATCTTTTGTAAGAATGTTGTGCGTGGTAGTTAGTGGTGAAGGTGGTGCTAATGAGGATGGATGGTGGCGTGGGCTAATGATGGTGATATGGAGGGTGTTGTGGTGAAGACGATGATGGTGGTGCGTATTTTAATGGTGCGTTGTGGGTGGTGTATGTGAGGTTGGGTTTGGTGGCGAGTCACGTAACAGTATTATTGAATGCTGTCATGTTGAGGGTTGTGGTGGTAAGGGTGGACCCCCGGGGGTCAGGATAGCGGTGAAGGGGGGTGGTGGTGAGTGCTGTGGTAGTGAGGCTACAGAAGGTTAGGGTGGTGGTAATGAGGGTAGGTGGTCAGTGCCGTGGTGTAACTGCCATGGCAGTTGTGGTGGAGATGGAGGACATGACAGTGTTGGTGAGGATGGCATCACAGTGGTGAGTGGCATGGTAGTGAAAGTGGTAGCAGGGGGTCAAGATGGTGGTGGTGAGTGGAGAGGTGTTTGTAATGGTGAGGGTGGAGGTGTCGGTAAGAATAAAGTGGAGGTGATGAGAGTGAATGTAGTTTAGGGCTGGTCATTGTAGAGGTTAAGTTTTTAAGCTGTTGGTAGTGATGATGGAGGTTGTGGTATTGGTGTCAGTAAATGTATGTATGTTGAACTTCTTTCGCACCGTACGTAGTCAACAGTGCTAATCGGAGGTGCGTGGTGCTGGGAGTGGTGAGAGTGGTTGTTGCTGGTTGTGGATAGCTGGTGATGGAAGATGAGTTGCTTGGAGTCGGAAGTGGTGGTGGTGAAGCTCCTGGAGTTGATTGTGGAAGTGGTAGAAGTTGCTTGAGGTGGAGGTTTTTTTGGTTGTGGTGGGGCTGTTACAGGTGTGGTTAGTGGTCGAGTGTCTAAATGTGGTGGTAGTGATTGTATTGGAGCCACTGGTGATAGTGGTGTTGTCATTTAATTTCTCGTGGTATTTATGGTGGATTTGCCGGAGGGAGCTAGGTGGTATTTGCGGTTGCTGAAAGTGGTTACAGAGGAGTTATTGGTTGTGGGACTGCATTTGGAGGGTGTATTTTTAGCAATATTTAGCTTTAGGAGCAATATTTTAAACGCCTGAAATTAATCAGCACAGATATTATCGGAAACTCTTTTATTTGGGTTATTCATCAATATGTTTTATAAGATTAACATTGATTCATGCAGTTATTGATGGGATGATGGTTTGGAAATTGAGATTGCATTTAAATCGAATTGTTTGTGCCCTGAACTTTAATACATTTGACCATGTCACTTTCTCTTTATTTCGAAATAATAGCAATCAATTGAGTCGTTTTATTATGGACATGCGGCGTAGGCTGTAGGGAGTCGTGTAAAAATGTATTCCCCCTGCAATTCAGTGAGTTTTGCTTTCTTCAAGCATCGCGTTTGTTTAGCATTCTCGTGTTTGTAATGGCCTTTCTTGTGGTTGCAGGGATCACTGGAGCATATACAATATATTAAGCAAAGACATCCATTCTTATGCGAGTGCATATGTTGTGACTTCAATAATACATTATAATTGATGGTTCGGTGCATCTTTGGATTTATTTTTTAAATGTTCGTTTGACTGAAGCCTTATCTTGGCATGTGATGCTGCTGTGTGGCAGACATTAAAACTACACAGAATGACACCTTTTCAAAGGCTACCAAGATGGCTTTTGTGTCTGCATCTCGACATTATAGGTCCCGCTTTGCCAGTTACAAGGGAAGCATATGTTGTACTCATCTTTGCTGTGATAACTCGAAATGTTCACCCCTTGTGAAATTTCCCAGTAATGATATGTACATAATTATAATTTTCTTTAATGTGCATCGGAGAATGTTTGAATCTAATGTGTAATGCCAGACTATCTAAAATAGATTATTACTCGGTGTCCCCACTAGGGCTACGCTGTAAGGGTGCGCTCTCATCTCGCTTGAACATCATGCCACAATCAATATATTTGTGTGAAGATGACAAGTCTTGTGACATGTGAACCTCTGGCGTCTCATTATCTCCAGAACCGCCCCATTATCCAGGCGCACTGGGTAATTACTCAAGGCTGTATATTTTCATATCTCCAGCCATGAACTTCACTTTGTCATTCTGCTTGGAAAACAAGCTTACTGTATGAACATTGCAATCACAAAGGCACGCTTTTATCCAGATTTTAGTTTTATATTTCATAGTGTGTCTTGTGCTAACGATATTGCAATGTACGGTGCATTTTTTCTTGAAACGTATGCTCCATCATGATTGTTGTTGCCTACTCTGGACGTGCATCATTGTACATACGTTTCTTACCTTTCTGATTCTGGCTGTGCTGTTGAGTTGCTGTTAATTTCCACTGCCAGCAACTATCCATAATATTCACCTGATTTAGTGTCTCCAACAACATCTGCTCTCAAATGTAGACGCTCCTTTTAATTGTGCCTGATGTCTGATCTAGCCACGATACTCCATACTGGCATAGGTCCACTCAATATGCATAAAGGAGGATGCATTTAACAGTGGCACAGAGTACAGTGTCTGCTTTGAAGAATTGTTTGTCTGTTTTTCACTTTAACGCCCCCACGTTATTTAGTGCGACACTGTGCTGCTGAATATTGATGTGCTGTGGCGATCGGCATTGAGTGATTTTTTTTCTTATTTTCTGCACACAGCAACCACCAGGGTGCCACCCCACTGGTCCTGGCTCGGAGACGTGGAGTGTGCAAAGAGGTGCTCCGTCTCTTGGAGTCTCTGGAGGAGCAAGAGGGGAAGGGGCTAGCTGCTGGAACGCCACCCACCATGGGGAGCATGGGAGCCATTTCACTCGCCGAGAACGAAGGGTACGGCTCGTGTGTGCAGAGAAACAAGCATTTTAAGTTGCCGATTGTGGCGGAAAAAATATGAAAAGGCCAGTCATTTGACTGCATGCTCACAATACTGGCCACGTTACAACTTGTATCAGGTAATGCACGTGTAATCAGGGATGTCTCTGTTCGGACACAATGGTACTTATTTTATGTGAAATTATTTGGTCCTTGTACACAGATAACCATTCTAATTGTTTCCATTGTACATCATTACAGGTATTATCGGAGGTTCAGCTTAAAAAAATGCAATTTACCGTATTTTCCCGCATGTAGCCCGCATACACATATAACCCGCAGACGCATATACCCCGCAAACATAGCGTTTTGTGTAAAACAAATTTCAGATAGTTCGCATCGTCATATACCCCGCATGCATTCATATATTTAACGTCGTTACTGCAGCTTAATTCCATCATATGAATACAAAGTTTACATTTATAATACATTCCACTATCAATTGTTAACATTACAATCATAACGTGCACAAAAAAAACAAATTAACTGTAAACGAGTGAACTTAAAACAGTAAATAAGGAACAAAAATTAAATATCCAATAAATAAGTAACACATAACTGGTAGATAAGTAAGCGTACTGTTAGGCTTACCAGCATTCGACCTCATCATATTACCGTACAGCTACTGGACCGGTAGTTACCCCTGTACAGTTTTAGCACTGGTAGATTGCGCACTGCGCAGACAATAACGGCACTACGTAAACGCCATTTGCCTCCTGGCAACAAAGCCATTGGAAGTTTGAAACAAAGCTCATGGTCGCGACTGTATAGTGCTCAGCCAATATCAGCGGCTTAAGGGACTCGGAAATTATGATTCCGCGTCTGGTAGACGCTTGTTAAGGCCCTTCCCATTGCGCAATGTAAACATTGTACGAACAATTCGAATAATTTAAAACGTGATAACGTGCAATTTTAGTGTTATTCAGCAGTGCTTTAGTCAAAGGTAAGTGTTGCATAGTGGATAGTCCTACGATGACATTTTTTTACGAGTTATGACATGTCACACATGTAAAATATTTTTGGGATAGCCCACACCTCCATTTACCCCACAGGGTCTTGTTTTGTTGGTAAAAAGTGGTATACCACGCGGGTTATATGTGGGAAAATACGGTATATATGTATAGTTTACAAAGACTGCCTATATAGCAACTCTAGAGATGGCTTTATGCATGCATACTAACCTAGATAAGGCTTACAACTTCTCAACTGGCTTCATAAGAAGCCACCATTATTTTGGATGGTGGTGCCATTTTTATCCCAATATGCAGGGTGCTTAAAATTTGTTTTAACACTTGTGAGAATATGCAACAATACCACGAGAAATGTGCCTCCGGGCTCTAGAGACCACCTGGAGAAGATTCCAGGAATGCGTTGAGAATGATGGCGAACAAGCGGGGAGATTCTTTAACTTTTTGAAGCTATTAACATACATTTGTTATGTTACAGTGTATTATCCGTTGTTTCTCCATTAAAAATGATAGTCCCATATAAGTGTTAACATATTTTTTAAGCACCCTGTACATAAGGTCTGATTTAGTTGCTTACAAAGGCAGGGCACTTTAACAATTATTTGAATTCCCAAAAACGAATAACGGTTTGTGAGGTGCAAGAAGGGCACTTGGAAGAGGAGAGGGCATGGGCATATGCCCAGCTGGCAACCCTCTCATGCATGTGTTTCTTTCCAGTGATCGCGCATTATGATGTGATTTTCATTTTTAACCCTGACGTCCACTTTCTGACTTAAGAATTTACTCCTGGCTTTGAAAAAATATATTTATATAAAGTGTCATCATTTTTACAAAACCACCACTTTGGGATTTTTTGTTCGATTGTCCACTCCTCTCTTTTGGCAGCTGCGTTTCCATTCCATGTCTATAACCGTTTTTGTTTCCAAAACATGAAACCTCTTTAATGTTTTATTTGGCCTGAGGTTATGCCAGTATTTTTTTCCTTTGTAATACTTTAAACTCTACTCACTTGTTTTGAACATCTGCTTAGGCTCGAAACGCAAGATACACAGTGGTATTCACCAAAGTTTAAGCCATATATTACTATTTTAAACACAATGGTAGCCTGAATGCATATATAATGGAAAGTAAATGCAATTTAATTGGCAATCTCTTTAATGTACTTTAAGCTAAAACTTGTGTAATATTTAACAGCCTAAAATGTAATATTATTCAAGACATTTTGGAAAAATCATGCAAGGAATGTTAATGTTAATTGGTTTAGCTGTTTAAGGTAAATGAATTAAGTAAAGTATTTCATATATGGTAGTACATGTGATGAGGGTTTAATTTGTAATAGGTGTTTTTGAACAGCTTTATTAATCTTCTCTTGGTTCACTCCTTGAATTTTACATAGCCTCATTACTGCATATTTAGACGAAGAAAACCAAATAATATCAAGGTCATTTTTTGTTACACGTTTTGCTGCTGTGGTTTGTAACTTTAATATAAAAGTCCCAATTGTATCACTGCACTACATTTAGAAACTGCTGTTATGCGAGCCATATACTGGAAATTAAAATAAAAACCATAATAGATACTTGGTGAAGAAATTGTCCTTGTAGTAATGAGATTCCTAGTACAATCACTCCTCGCTTAACGGCAGCCCCTTGAACGTTTCGCTGCAACGTCACCGACGAATCGCTACCCATTTAAGCATTTAACGTTGCGTGGTATCGCTCTAACGTCGCTGCTGGCGGGCAACTAATTTCCATGGCTGCGTGCCACGTGCATTGCTAGGCAATACACGCTACCGGCCCAGTGTATTTCTACGCGGCCAGACTGTACTGCAAGTCCTCGCTTTCTTGGGCTACATGGGTGAGCGAAATGATACAGGATGCGGAATTATAAAGCACGCGGCGGCGTACCCTCATCTCAGTTAATTTTGGTGATGTCATCGCCGCTTCGTAGCGAATGGCAGTTATTGTTGCGAGTGAGTGGGGTGGCACAGTGGTTAGTGAGCTGTGCATACAAACCCGGCAGAGACCCAAGTTTTATTCCTGCCCACAACCACCACTATCAACACCAGTGGCAGCGATTATCTGAATCGGGTCCTGGGCCTCCCCTAGTTCGACTCAGCCACAAATTAATACCTGGTGTGGTGTGTATTAAACGTCGCCACTTGGGAGACAAAGGTGGCCGGGCGTGCATGATGCCGGCCACCCGCCTCGTCGTGTGCCATGCCGGCCTTCACAAGTGCTACTCGCTAATAGCACTTGCCACTAGTCTGTTAAAGGTTACATGGGGGTCTTTGTTACAGTGGTTAGTGCACTGTGCTACGAACCCAGCCGACCTGAGATTAATTCTCCAAAAAAATTAACTCAACACATTCGTCAATGATACACATTGTGTGTGGCCTGAAAAGAAAACTATAAAATCGGCGACGTTTTGGGCAATGGCCCTTCTTCATAGCACACACGGGTGAGTGTTAACCTAAACTAACATTTTCTCTACTTATACCAACGGTTAATCAGTAGTGTTATTAGTTTTTTTTATTAAATGTATGTTAAGAATGTTTATCATATTCTTAAGTGTGACTGGAAATTTCACAGGAACATAACCTCCCCTATTTACATTGTTTCTTATAAGAAAGTAGGCTTTGCTTCACGTTGCTTCATTTAAAATTGAAGTCGCATTTTCCAGGAATGCAACCCTGACGTTAAGCCTGTAGGTTCTGTGTTGGTTAGAAGCAGCAGTACACATTCCTGGGATTTGTTCAGGGTGATTGCAACCATGCATGCCAGTTACTGTTTGCATATTGTATTTCACATATCATCAGGAATGCTTTGAACCAGTATTGGAAATGCATATAAGGTGGTATGCAATATTAAGTTTCGTCCAATTATATTAATGGTATAAATTAAGTTGTGTTTATTTAAGAATGAAAAGGTTGTTAAAATTAATCCACTAGAAATAATTACAGTGGACACATTCTCTTTAAACAAACTGTTTTCAATGAATATATAACGTTTTGTAGCTAATAATTAGTTGAGTAAATGATTAATTTTGATGCTTATGTATGTTGTATGTTCAGGAAGTGTTGAATAATTGATACAAAAAACTCGAGGCGAGTTTAACATTACCATAAATAAAGGTAAATATGAAGAAGTGCTGTCAAAATGACACCATAAAATGTCATAAAATTTGCATTTTAAGCTATATTTCTAAAATTAATAGGAATGCTCTAAAATAATGATAGGCATATTGTTTATACATAAACAAAACGAGTTTATTACAAAGGTGATCATTGTATTTTCACTAACTTGCTTTTGCCCATTCTCAGATTTTCCATGAAAACATTTTGAAGGACATTTTTTTTGCCAGAGGCAGCACTAAATAACAACTATCCTCTTGGGATGTGAAACAATTACTTTAATGGTCTTAATATTTAAGGTAATTAAAAATAACTATAACAAATAAATTAATGTATGGAAAAGCATACAGGTATCTATTTTTTTTAATTAAACAATTGTATAAATATACCTGAGAAGGTTTAATAAATAGTACATAATTTTAGCACTTACCCATTCATGTGAACCAATTAATCTTTAGTTTCTCCACGTTAAACCTGACACTGAACATTGTCATGGCAGCGTAGCCTTTGGGTGGGTTACTATATCATATTTTACAAGACACATGTTAGCATGGGGAAAGTTCGTACACTTTTTAGTGTCTTAATCGACAATAATGTCAGTGTTGTGTTATGACTTGTTTCTTAACGTTTTTATATTGCCTTTATCCCCATGACTTAAGTATCATGAATGTTATATTCAAATATTTATTGAATGATTTTGGTTGTATTGCATTTATCTTTAAACTTCTAATGTCATTGTTAAAGGTAGTTTAATGATAGCTTCAAAATACAATGTCTACCAAATATTTTCAATGTATATTGTATATAGTTCTGCACAGTGTAAATACCATACCCTTTATTTTCACTGGCTGCAAATA